TTCAATTAGCAACAAACATAAACATTCAAGAAAACGTACTTTTTAAATGTCATTATAACTGGCCAATATATAATRGTGAAACAAGTGTCAAAATGTTTTACCTTCTGTCCCCTTTATCTAACAATTCAATCTAACAGCTTCACCTCCATTTCCCTCTTCCAAATGGCGTTGGAGACCACATATAATGCTGTGCAAAGATCTCGGGAGATATCTCTGTCCGTTCTCTTTGCAAATTTCCTGGACAAATTTTGTTAGCCACAAATTCAATGAATCCTCCGTCATGTTCACGATATTAGTTTCAAGACTTTGAATTTTATCGACTTCGGCTTTGAATCCAATCTCTTCCAAAACGGRATTTTTATTTGACCTTGCAGTTTGCCAAGAGACAAAAATATTGAACGACCATTTTGTCACGTAACGTGTCGACCTAGGTACAGATTTCTGTAAAAAAGCTTGTTCTTCTAAAGCACTTTTTGATTTCCGAAACATCCGCTTTGGAGGCATTTTCATTTAAACTGATGCAATAACTTCCAAACAAAAATATGTTAATCTTTAAGGTCCACCKAGAAATTTCTTCCCCTGAGAATTGACTACTTTTCTATTATATTTTTTATGCTGTATGATTCAACATGGGATTTCTTAGCCGTTCAAARTTCGTTAATTATTCACGCGTTTATGAAGCCGTTCATTAAACTCGCAGATCGTGTTTTATCAGGTCTTATCAAACTCATGAATAATTCATGAGGAAAACACAATAGAAATCACGACCATGAAGGAGGTTTTATATCTGATATAGATTTGTCTTTATTTGCATAAACTTGAACTTGGATTTTCTTGGGCAGATTCACTTCAATTTTGAAAATTTTAGTGAAACACAAAGGAACTAACCTAGACGTTTGATAAGCAATCTACAGTATGAGTGGCCGTGTTGTATGCGATATACAATCACTCGGCTACGCCTCGAGTTCGTATATCGCATACAACACGGCCACTCATACTGTATATATTACTAAAAACTTTTAAACCTGATAAAACACTCCTGCTCGTTTATTAAACACTACATAAAGCTTTTACACCAAATAATCCCCAACATTATGAGGACCTTGATTTCCTAAATACATCTGAACAAAGTGTCCAAGGACCACTGTATAAGTCCCTTGGCGAAAGAATCAAGGAATCTATAGCCCATTCTAATGACC